AAACATGATTTCAATTGGCTGTATGTATAACTTGTAATTTACTTAGCCAATCCTAGGTGTACATTTAGGTTTATCAATTTTTTCTATTATTAAAAATGTTGAAATATGCAATTATTGTTCATAAATATTTGTGACAATTTTCAAGCCTTTTAAAATTTATCTTACCCATAAAAAGAGCAGTTCAATTTCCCCTTTTTCTATGTAATCAAAATGTAACAGTACTTTACATTGATTGGAAAGAGGGAGTCAATAGACAGATCCTGGTTTAACGTTTCATTGGAATTCACCAAAATGATCAATCGCCAAATATTGATTGAGCACTTACCATGTGCCAGACTCTGTATTAGACTCTACTCCCCATGTTAAAGAAATAAGTTATTAGAGCCTTTTTAAAAGTCATGTCTTATCATTGAGACCAAGCTAATCACAGACTGTATTAGTAAATTTGTTCATGTGAAGAGGAGGAATGACAAGAAGATAATAAAGCAATTTTAGAACTCTAATCTATATAAGGAAAATGAGGGGAGGCTGGAGGGGGAGGGAGGCTAATTGAAGAAACACTAGTAAAGCAAAACTTCTCCTACAACACCACCTTCCTGTCTTGTCATAAGTATAGATGAATAACAACTCTGTTATAGGATTTTAAGATTATTCTGTTTATATAAGACTTCCCATGGCTATAAAACCGAGTCCCCACAGCCCCACCTACCAACTTGGGGACACATATATTTAAGATATGGTCATTGTCATTTAGACATTGCTACTAAGGATGGTGAATTCTGTCTGAAGTAGCCAATTATCTGTCCAAATCTGTCTTCAGCCTTTCAGCCAGAAAGTTATTTTTGTCATTATAGTTTCTTGTTGACAGTATACTTAGACTCCCTTCTGTTACAGAAAATGATGCCCAGTGCAGAGCCTTCTTTCACATACCTGAAGTGTGTTATTGAACCACCAAATAATAGACATTACATTTTGTTTTATTCCAAACAAATGTTTCAGCTCCAGTGGGAGCTACTGGTTAGAGATGCCTTGGACGTAGGAAAGTAGTTCCTAGGGTTTGAAATATATCTACTCCATTTTGAAACAGCAGAAATCCCACGACACAATTCCCATTTTGAAAATGCATTGTAGAAGGGAATCTGTGTTTATCCTACATGGAAACTGAACCATGAGTATAGAATTATAAAGCATCCTGGATGGATTCATATGTAAAGTCAAAGTTTTAATATTATGCCTATGGGTAAAATTCACTTTAAGAACACTAAATACTTGTCCTTCAAGCAGGCGAATGGAAATTATGCCTACTGTTCATAAAACCAACAAGAGGAGAATGTTTTTTGGAGCTATACAATATGAACAAAAGCAGGACTAGCTGTGATTCTAGATCTGCCTATCTTTTGAGAGGCTGATAGCACTGGAGCTTGGAGCTTAAAAATCAAATATGCTAAGGAGCGCACACAAGAAAAAAACAAACATATCTTAATATCTTCAGAAATCACTGCCCTGAATCCCATCTTCTTTTTGAAAAATTAATATTAAAGTGAAATATAGACCACTCACATGGGTAGGCCCTAATGTGTGGTTACTGAGTCAAAAAAAAAATTCTTTTGTAAATGATCAATATTTGGTGATTATAGGTTATACCTAACAAGCTCCAAGTAGTGCCATAAGCAGGAAGGTATTTAATAGATTATTTTGATTATGGTAATAGTTATGAGCTACTTTATAGATGAAAATAAGGAGCCCAACAAATTAGCAATATGATGGCTATAATTTTCACACTGGTAAAACATTTAGATTTTTCTATGACATCATTAAAATGTAGATAATTGCCACTTTTTCTACGCGCATAAATTTCCTGAGAAATTTTCTCAGAACTTTAATGTTATTATTGACAACCAACTTATCTCTTAGAGAAAGTAAGCAGATGGACAAAATTTCTGTAAGTGTTCTGAACCCTTCAGAAGGAATCCCTGTTCTGAATATGTAAATGCTGTGGGTTAACATAAGCAATTTCAAAGTTGAGAAGGTAAACTAATAGGCAAGGCTCACTTTGCTTTGACCAATTTACAATTCGTAAAGCCAGATTTTATTAAATCATAATTCAAACCCTCTGAGTAATTCATTCGACTCTGCTGTTGATAGAGGCCTGAAGATCCATTCATGTGTGAAAATTGCTGGTGGATTATAACAGATTAACACAAAAGAGTAAACTCTTTATTAACTTGTAAAATCATATTGCCAGAGACAACGCAAGACATTAAACTGATGTGTTTTACTTGGATTCACATCCCTTACAGAGGATCATATGCTAAACAGCACATGCAGAGAAACAATTCCTGTATCACAGAATCCAATGACATTAGCCTGATTCCATCCACTGACGAGACAGGGAATGATTCTGACTCACTTTTCACATAAAATGGGGGGAAAAAAAAGGAAAAAGAAGACAGGCACCAAATCATAGCACTATTACATGGATATTTCTGATTTTGCTTGCCCAGCTTACCTTCTTTTGGTAATGGCAGTCTGTCTTTTTGGGGAGAAATAATATTCTATCTCATTGCATTGAGTCTGATGGAACTTTGTAATTAATGAGCTCTTCCTGCCACCTGCCCTAGGCATGTGACCCAAGGTCAGCCAACCAGCCTCTATTTCCTGGGAAAGAAATACTACAGAAGCGTGTTTTTCCTAAAATCTGGTTACTTAGCCTGCCCGCCCACTCACCCTCCCTCCCTTTCTCCCTTCCTTCCTATTTCTTTTTAAAAAAAAAAAAAAAAAAAAACTCTCCCTCTGTCACCCAGGCTGGAGTGCAATGGCATGATCTCGGCTCACTGGAACCTCTGCCTTCTAGGTTCAAGCAGTTCTCCTTTCTCAGCTTCCAGAACAGTTAGGATTACAGGTGTACACCACCATGTCTGCCTAACTTTTTTGTATTTTTAGTAGAGACGGAGTTTCACCATTTCAGCTAGGGTGGTCTTGAACTCTTGACTTCAAGTGATCCACCGGCGTTGGCCTCCCAAAGTGCTGGGATTACAGGAGTGAGCCACCACACCCAGCTATTTAGCCTTTCTTTAGGATCCCTTAGCCATTCTCTTTCTTTCCAATAAAGTCTCATCTTGCTTAAATAATTTGGAAACCGTCTCTGTTGCTTACAGCCAATGACTCTAGACACATAAAACTATAGACCTCTATTGTTGGCAGGGAGCTTAAACTGGAAAAAAGGTATGTAAAAAACTTTGAAACTTTGGAAATAGGAAAGAAAATGTAAAAGGAATACCTGAGCCACAGTATTGGCCTGTGTTGGTACAAAAGTCCTTAGTAATAGTGGAGAGAAGATTGCAGGGTGGTCTAATGGCATACGTACTGAAACAGGAGTCAAGAACCTGAGCTCAATCCGCTTATTTCACAATGAAGCACACTAAAGCCCAGAGAGGAGTTATTTACTGAATGTGTTAGAGCCAGCACCAGAATTGAGGTATCCAGGATTCCAACTGAAATTTGCTTATGTTTGCATCATATTTCATCTTCCTATGAATTTTACTTTCACTCTTTTTAAGCTTTGACATGTTCTAAATTTATAGCTGCTTCCAGAATTATACTCTGTACTCCAAAGTAATCAAACATATTTTCAAAAAGCTGAGCTCAAGATGGAACATAGGAAGTTTGTAACAGTCCTCTGTCTGACTTGCCCCTTTTAGTCCTCTGAGCCCCATCCCAGGCACCACTGTGTCTGTTCATTCTTATTTTTGTATTTCAATTTTCCCTTTTAGAGATTTCACCCATCTTATACCTGCATGATTGATCCTGGCTTTCAGGCTGGGTAGGTCAGACCTAGTTCCATCAAGTCAAACTTACTCGGCAAAGGAGACAGAAAAAAATCAGAATAGTCAAGAATGAACACTGGATATATTTTCCAGTTTAGTAGCTGACTTACAAAGCAAATGTAACCAGATTCAAGAAGTACTTGTGGAATATCTCTAGTGTTTCCAGCACTGTTCTAAGTTTTCTGAGAATAAGGAAAACCAAAATTATTCTTTAAAGAAATAAAAAAAATAGACAAGAAAAACTTGTCTGTATGCTACCAACAAAAGACACCACATAAACAAGTCCTAAATTGTATGTGACATACCACAGTGCTATATTTTCTGAGAAAGCACCTTTCTGATCCATTGATCACAAACTCTTGTCACAAAATGAAGCCTATTAAAAATCAAAGTTGGCCAGATTCCACTGCATATAAATTCACAATATGGAATTTAATAAACTTAGAGCCAAAAAGAACTCATAAAACGACAGACATAAATTTCTCCTAAGAAGCTCAAAGCTTTTTAGGAATAATCTCTCAATTTTCTATTCTGTTTCTCTGAGAAACAATTGAGGTATGACTCTACACTCATATTTTCTTTCTGAAATATAAATGGAAGGAAAGGCTAATTGTGGCTTTAGAAGTGTTCGAGAAAGTATAATTAACTAACATTTTGTGGAGGGTCATGAAGAATTTTTGAAGAGTTGAAATTGGCTGGGTACTGACTGCTCCCTAAGTAAAATAGTGAAACTGAAGGAAGACTCTCCTGTAGCAAATTCATCAACTTTGACTAACAGCAAACATATAATTTTAGAAGAAATTAAAGCCAATAATATAGTAGTAGGCAACACATGTTAGTGAACAACCAAACACATCCAGTGTCTTAACTTGATTCTGCTGTTTGCTATGTGTATGATTTTAGACAAATTATTTAATGTCCACACCTATGGATCTGTTCCTAGTAACATGGTGGACTAAATATAACTACCATTTGAACTAAAATTCTAAATTATAAATATATTTGAAATCTTTTAAAAATGCACTGTGTTTGTGACTAAGTAAGAAATCCTGTGAGGCACAGAACAAGGTGAAAGAGAAATTTTTTCATGGCGTCACTTGATAAACTGTGGGCTTTAGTTTTGCTTTGATGCTACAAAGATGTGAAAACAAAGCACAAAAGTACACGACTTACCCTAAGCAGAGAGTCTAACAGTAAAGACTGCATTCAGTCTGCATTTCTAAGCAACTGCAGCCTCGGTGTAAGGTGAATGGATAGCAAAACAACCTTCAGTTAAAGGGCAAAGATTGGAAACCTGGAAGAAGAAAATAATCATACCGGTTTATGATGCTCACAAGAGATGCATTTAGCATATAGAAACACAGCAACATTAAAAGACTACAGAAAAGTATACTAACCAAAAAACCCTGGTGTTAATTATAGTCGTTTAAACTAAAATAGACTTTAACACTATCTATGTCTTAGAGAAAGAGAGTTACTGTAAATAATAAAGATTAGATTCATGAAGAAGATATAAAAACTCTAAATTTGTATTCAAAAAATAATATGGTCCCAAAATATATAAACAAAAATAGAAAGGCAAAAGGTAAAAACTACAGTCATATTGGTAGACCTTAACACACCTCTTTCTACAGTTAATAAAGCAAATGCAAACTTAAATATATAAGTGAGATTGTGCAGTATTTGTTTTTCTGTGTGTGGCTTATGTTTAATATTACTACCTCTGGGTTCATCCGATGTCACAAATGATAGGCTTTTTTAAAAGCCTAAATAGTATTCTATTATATATAATATGTGTACAGGTATTGATCAACTTACAACCTATGCAACTTATGACCATTCAACTTTACGACCACAATCGGTAGCCACAACTGCTCCACGTCTGGCAGCACAAACATTGCCCAGCTGGGTGTAAGACAGTGCGGACCAGCTTCCGGCAGCACTACCATCTCCGCGTGCACCATTTCAACTGTTATCCCAGACTCGGTACAGCAATTTGTGTTTTGTGTCTTGGATATTTTTCATCAAACCCCTCCCAAGATGTCTATCAAGAGGAAATTGTCTTTGTCTAAGCCTCAGCTTGCCAAGAAGGAAAGAAAGGCCATCGACCTCGACACAAAAATGAAGGTAATTTAGCAGTACGAAGGAGGAAAGAAAGTGAATGTGATCACACGTGATACGAAGTTATCACACTCGACTGTGTCGATGATTTTGAAAGATAAAGAAAGAATTCGCGAAGCTGTGAAAGGTTCTGCACCCATGCGATCAACAGTTATAACAAAGCAAAGAAGCAGGCCCATCCACGAAATGGAGATATTGCTATATATTTGGATGGAAGATCAAATTCAAAAACGGACACCATTAAGTCTTTTTACTGTGCAGATGAAGGCAAGAAGTCTATTTCAGACTCTGAAGGAGCGTGCTGGAGAAGATTACAGTCAAGAATTTGTAGCAAGCACTGGCTGGTTCCAGAGATTCAAGAAAAGATTCCAAATGCATAGTGTTTGAGTGACAGGACAAGCAGCGAGTGCGGATGAGGAAGGAGCACGTAAGTTTGTTGATAGTCTGGATGAATTAATTACAGATGAGGGATATCTAGGAGAACAGATTTTCAATGTTGATGAAACTGGATTACTGTATTTTGGAAACGGATGCCAGCACACACTTATATTCACAAAGAGGCAAAACGCATGCCAGGATTTAAAGCATTTAAGGATAGGCTAACTCTGCTGCTTGGTGGGAACATCGCAGGGTTTAAGCTGAAGCCGTTCTTAATTTATCACTCAGACAACCTGTGTGCGTTCAAGAATGTTAACAAGCACACACTGCCCGTCTACTTCATTCTCAACATAAAGCATGGATGACACAAGGATTGTTTGAAGGCTGGTTTATGAACTGTTTTATTCCTCAAGTTCGAGAGTATTGTTTGGAGAAAGATATTCCTTTCAAGATTTTATTGCTACTCGATAATGCACCTGGACACCCACCACATCTAGGCGATCTCCATCCAGATGTAAAATTTGTTTTTCTTCTGCCAAACACGACTCCACTCATCCAGCCTATGGACCAAGGTTCGATTGCTACATTGGAGGCCAACTATCTCTGAACCCCCTTCGCTCAAGCAATATCCGCTATAGATGCTGACTCAGAACTAACACTGCGAGACTTTTGGAAACACTACAATATTTTGATGTGTATCAAGAATATCGCTACCGCCTGGGAGGCTGTGATGACAAAGTGCATGAATGGCATCTGGAAAAATTGTGTTAAGCGCTATGTTAATGATTTTGACGGATTTGACAGTGAACATGAACTTGAAATGATTTGGGTGAAAAAATAGTAAAACTCGCTAAAGATCTTTCTTTGGAGTGTGAAATGGAAGATGTCGAGAGTTGCTAGACAAAGAATCTGGAGAACTTACAAATGAAGAGCTAATCGAACTGGAAGAAGAAAGAGTAGAGGAAGAAGAAAGAAGAGAAGCAGAGAAAGAAGAGGAGGAGCCAGAAAGAAAGTTCACCACTAAGGGATTATCAGATGGTTTATCTTTACTGAATAAACTTCTTATACATTTTGAAGCAATGGACCCAAACATCGAATGATTTGCAAGGATTGAACGGATGGCGCACGATGTGTTTTGTCCATATCGTGAAATTTATGAAGAAAAAAAGAAACATACAATTCAGACAAAGCTCACCATGTTTATGAAAAAAGCAACTCCAGTAACCCCAACTGCTGCCTCAGATGACGACATCAACGATCTGCAGCCAAGCACCAGTGGCCAATAAAATGTTTCGTACATGTTTATATATTTTGATATGTTTTGCAACTGGGAAAATGTTTCCTATGGTATTTTTTACACCTGTATTTTGTAATTTTATATGTTTTGCAAACTAGTAATGTAGTGTTTTGCTTAAATATATCATAATTTTCTTTGTTCAAAATATATCATAATTTTCTTTGTTCATTTTATGCCATTTGTATCATCTCTACACTATCTTGTTTCTTATTTTGACATTCAATTATGATATACAACAATAATGAAAGAAAATTATAAAATATGACTTAAAGATTTTTATAACATCATTTCACAGTACTGTACATATAGCCTACTCAACTTACAACCAAATCATGTTACGACCAGTCTGTCGGACCCAATCATGGTCGTAAGTCGAGCACTGATTTTCTTTGTTCAAAATATATCATAATTTTGACATTCGTCAAAATAAGAAACAGTGTAGAAATGATACAAATGGCATAAAATGAACAAAGAAAATTATGATATATAACAATAATGAAAGAAAATTATAAAATATGACTTAAAGATTTTTATAATATCATTTCACAGTACTGTACATATAGCCTACTCAACTTACGACCAAATCATGTTACGACCCGTCTGTCGGACCCAATCGTGGTCGTAAGTGGAGCACTAGCTGTATATGTATATACCACATGTTCTTATTCCATTCTTCTGTTGATGACATTTAGGATGGCTCCATACCTTGGCTTGTTCCATATCTTATGACTAATGCTGCAAAGAACATGGCAGTGCAGACACCTCTTTGACATACTCCATTTCATTTGCGTGTCTATACACAGTAGTGAGACTGTTGAATCCTATGGTGCTTTTATTTTTACCTCTTTGAAAAATTCCATAGAGTTTTCCATAATGATTGTGCTAATTTATTCTCTCACCAACAGTATGCAAGAGTTTCCTTTTCTCCACATCCTGGTCAATACTTTTTATCATTCATCTGTTTTATAATAGCCATTTTAAGAAATGTGAGGTCATATCTTTTTGTGATTTTAATTTGCATTTCTCTGGTAATTACTGATGTTGAGCACTTTTCCATATACCTGTTGTCTATTTATATGTCTTCTTTTGAGAAATATCTATTCAGGTCCTTTGCTGATTTCTAAATTATTTGCTTTCTTGCTAGGGAGTTTTCTCAGTTAAATATACATATAGATACACACACACACACACACACACACACACACATATATATATATAGAGGATAATATATAATAAATATATACGTGTGTGTATGTGTGTGTGTGTGTGTGTGTGTATATATATATATATATATATATATATATATATATATATATATATTTAGAGGAAGTCTCACTCTGTTGCCCAGGCTGGAGTATAATGCTGTGATCATAGCTCACTGTAGCCTCCAGCTCCCAAGGTCAGGCAGTCCTCCCACCTTAGCCTCCTATGTAGCTGAGACTACTACAGGCACACACCACTATGCCTGGCTAATAATTTTTTTCATGTTTTTTATGGAGATAAGATCTCATTATTTTGGCTTGGGTGATCTTGAACTGCTGGGGCTTCTAGTGATCCTCTCACTTCATTCTCCCCAGGGGCCTTGATTATAGGTGTGAGCCAACAAGCCCTTATACGTTTTGGATATTCACCTGTTATCAAACATATGCTTTGAAAATACTTTCTCGTATTCTTCAGATTGCCTCTTCACTCTGTTGGTTGTTTCTTTTGCTGTGCAGAAGCTTTTAGTTTAATATAATCCCATTTGTCTAATTTTGCTTTTGTTGCCTGTGTTTTGGGGGTCATATTTCAAGTAATCATTATCCAGACCAATGTCATGGAGCTTTCCCCCATGTTTTCTTCTAATGGTTTTACAGTTTCAGGTCTTACATTTAAGTCTTTAATCTATTTTGAGTTGATTTTTGTATGTGGTGTGAGACAAAGATCTAATTTCATTCTCCTGCATGTAATTATCCAGTTTTCTCAGCATCCTTTATTGAAGAAACACTTTCTCCATTGTGTATTCTTGGCACCTTTGCTGAAAATCAATTGACTATAAATGTGTGGGTTTATTTAGGGCTTTCCTTTCTGTTTCATTGGTCTGTGTGTGTCTTTTATGCCAGTACCATCCTGTTTTGTTTACCATAGCTTTGTAATGTATTTTGAAGTCAGATAGTGTGATGCCTCCAGTTTTTTGTTTGTTTTGTCTTGTTTTTTTCCCATGAATACTTTAGTTTTTGGGGATCTTTTGTGGTTTGATGTGCATCTAATTTTTTTCTATTTTTTTCTATTTCTGTGAAAAATGTCATTAGATTTTGATAGATTTATTTGGATATTATGGACATTTTAACAATGTTAATACTTTCAGTGCATGAACACGGGATATCTTTTCATTTATCCATAAATGTGCCATTGAATTTGGTTTGCTGGCATTTTGTGGAGGATTTCTGTGAATATTTTCATCAGGGATGTTGGCCTGAAATTTTTTTTGTATTGTTCTTGTGTTGCTGTTTTATTAG